AGCAAACAACAAATGGAGAAGCTATCATAGAAGCTATCATAGCGTGAACCGGACTTCATTTCTCTGATCATCTCAGGTCTGAAGCTCTCAAAAAGCGGCTTATCAATTCAGCGCTCTTGCAAAAACTCAAAATGTCACAACACATCCAAAAAGAGATCTTCGAACGCATTTTTGGAGTATTTGGCAACCGCCCCTCTCCTTTAAAGGACTTCATCGAAGGTTCAGTGAACCTCAAGAGCCCTCGAGCCGAGCCAAATCCACCCAAGCTCAGCTGCAAGATCTGGAGCCAGGCCTCCAAACGCTGCCCAACGGGGAATACACGCCCTGAACTGGTGGCGAACTGGTTGGCTCCACAGATTTGGTGCGCGAAACCTCTTCATCGAACAGCTTGGTGTCAGATTGGATCAACATGCAGATAGTCCGAGGCAAAGGCCCAGTCTAACCAGAAAGATCCAAAAAGTGAATACAAAGCCGCCAAACGCGAAGGCTTGTGCAGGCATCCGGAATATTGAACAACTATTACCAAGTACTAAGACTGGCAAATCGTGAGCACGCGTTTGCTTCCAGTCATGCTGTGGGATTGTCTAAACGGGTCCTCCAACTTGAAAAATTGAGCTACTCAGACTGTCGAACAGTTTCATTCGGGTTCGACAGGATTGAAGCACAAATGTGGTGTGGGTTGTTCATTCATTGGAGCTACTTTTGCTTGCAACCCAGCACCTCGGCAAGTCCTGAAAACACAAACTGTATGCTCAATTCCAATCTTTCTGCTTGAGAATCTCTCCTAAACAAGGCAACAACAAAGACTTCTGATGCCAAAACAACAATTCTTGCAGAACATATATCCACTGACTCACTGACATGAATTATCAGGCCACTGCCTCTGCCTTCCACGCCCCAGATCCACCAGTCCTGGCCGCCCCGGCCGACCGCCCTGGCCGCTGCGCGCGCCTGGCGCCGCTCCACCGGAAGGCTCTGATCCGCCTCAAGCGCCAACGCATGCACTGCACGAGCGCCCAAGCGATGCACCTGGTACACGATGGTCACCTGGACCTCCGACACCGGCCGACACCGGCCGCGGCCACGGTGGAAGGGACTGGTGGAAGAGATGCAAAGCTGCCGAGTTGCATGTGATAGGGCTTACCGCAAGCATAACCCAGGCAGGAGGTCTTTAGAAGGGAAGGTGAAGACCCAACAATCCAAGAGCACGCATAGTTTCACCAGCAAAAAGGAACCTAAAAGCGATGGCTTCCCTAAGAGCGGTGGCCTCCAACCTACTTGCGATGGCCTCCACCCTGGTAGCGTGCTTCACAAAACTCTCCCTTTGGTGTGCTCCAACAATTCCTTTCTGCACCTGCCATGTCTCCCGGCGACATGCCGCGCGCTGGGACAAGCGCAGCATGAACTCGCGGACGTTCGCTGGGTCGTTCAGCAGCTGATCATCCGGTGGATGAAGAATCCGAAGCTCTTCCAAGGTCGCCTGCCATCGATGGCTCCCAGCCCTACGTGTTGGTAGGCATTGCATGTCAGTGGTCGAATTCCACTGATGAGGGTCAGGTGATCTGTTTGTGGTAAGTCATGAGATGTGGATGACCTCCCTGTCATTCTCAATCATATTTGGGATCCCGCGCCATCCTGATGTCTTAGAGGACTCATGAATGACCCACAACCGCGCTTTGTGGGGGTGGGTGCTGTGGAACGCTGTGGATCTTCAATAAAGTGATGGCTCAATAAGTGTGAAGAATCTGCAACTACATGCAGTTTTTACGGTCACTCCAAGATTCATACATCTGCACACATCTTTGGATGCTCCACCTGATCGTCTGGTCTTTGAGTTAAGTAGCATTTCAAGCGTTTCTGAGAAACCACACCTCCTAGCATTTCATCCGCTTCTGAACATTTCCCCATTTTCAACACAACAATCCTTTCCGACAACTCCCACAACTGTAGTTGTCTGGCTTCGCTGTGCATGCCAACCGTCCTGGGATTGCATATCTTTCCAAGCCATCAAACCTGCTTTCATCACGCCACCCACGCCCTCCAGCAGATGTTCATCCAGTTTCCATGTCAATGCACTCTTAATCAGGCCACCTCAGAAAAGCACATCAGGCCACCGCGGCTTGGACATGCCATGTTTAGCCATGATCCAAGCAAGAAACCAGCCAAAAGCCCAAGCAATGCCAAGCTTTCAAGCAATGACGCGAACAAACCCATGGAAACACAAGGAGACAAATGTTCGTTGACCTGGGTGGGGGTAATCTGATGGATGCACTTTATAAGGGTACCTATATAAACCTAGTTTCCATGCCCTCTAAGGCCCCTGAACAGGCGGCACACCCTTCTCCCAATCCATTGAACTTACAAACCAATGATGAAAGAACAAGAAAACGTCTCTGCCGCGACACAAGCAGTCTTGGCCGCACCTTTGAGGAGCTCTTTCTTCCACTTTTGCATGGTGTCCAAGAGTGCAGAGCTCACATCCAGCAAGAGTCTCGCTTCAGCTGTCCGCGGGCACGATGTCGACGTCAAGTCCTTACCTGACACCGCCGTCACGGCGAGTCGCGGACGACAACGACGCGGCCGAGATCAATCGGGGTGACCGTGGACGACGGGAAAAAGGATGAACACGGGAAAAGGGTCAGGAATCTTCCAACACTGAAAACACTCAACACAAATATGGTCCCAACTCTTACATGAGCACGCAAACAGCTGCTTCTGGTAGTAAGATGTAGTAAGCATCATGTAAACTGACCTTTGACGTAGCGCTAGCCGCTAGCGGTTTGGTCCGTGCTTGTGTTTGGCGCTTCACATCCAAGACTTCACTCCACGCGTGGCGACGCGTGGCGGCGCGTGGCGGCGCGTACCGTTGGCGCGTACTGTGGCGGACTGACGAATCCCGAAATGTCGCCCGAATGACCCATACAAAAGAGTGCCAGTGCGCATAGATGTAGAGGAAATCAAATCAATTGAAAAAGGCCTCCCAGTACAAGGATAAGCAGAAGCCATCCACCCTTCGTGGCTTTCTTCCGGGCGACCAAGGGAGGACCTTCAAACAACTTCGTTCCCTATCATCCCTCTGTGAGTTTATCCCACCAAAGAGCACCTTTATCTCCGACTCAATGTCGCATCCTCCCACATCCAGGTGACAGTGGCTCACCAGGTCAAAGAGGATCTTTTCATCCCCCGACTCGGACTCCACCGCAGGCAGCACTTTCAGGAGCATCCAGGTGGCGAAGCGAAGATTCGGTGCCATGGCCCAGGAGGCCTGTCGGGGGCTGGGGCAGGCTGGGACCGGTCGCACCCACCGCTGTGCGGTTTCGAGACGAGTTTGGGACCGGCTTCGGCCCTTGAGGTTTGGTTTCCTTGGTTTTGGTCTCTTTTCTGGCCTTCTTAGCAGTTGACCTCTCCATTTCTATTAGGTTGGAGGCCATCGCTAGTAGGTTGAAGGCCATTCCTCTCCATTCTGTTGAAGACCAACCTTGCTTCTGCACTGGATTCGCGCGTGATTCTACACCTGTGCGATGCACGGGTTGTCACTTTTGGGGGAACTACCATCAACTGTGGTCGTTGAGAGGGGCTTGTGCGGGTGGTGAAATTTGAGAGCTCACTGGTCGCATCCTTTGTCGCTTCCTTTTTCACCATAATGTTAACCTCCGGATCTCACAGTTTTTGGTGGAATCCGCAGAGAAACCTGCAGAAGGTCTGAGATGTCACAAAAGAAGCAGCCCGACACGATATCCGGATTCTGCTGGCCCCCAAGAAACTCTGAATGCAAAAAATGGTGCTCCAACCTAGTAGCGATGGCCTCCAACCTCGTAGCGATTGGCCTCCGACCTAGTAGCGATGGCCTCCAACCTAATGAAATACCGATGGCCTCTATGCAAAAAAAAACAAAGAACCTCACAAAGCCTCTAGGGAGTTATCTTACTAATCTTCCTACTCATCTTCTTACTCGCCTTATAAGTCAAGATGCTCGCGAATCTCCTTTGAAGAGCACCGGGATTTCCAAGCATTGCCTCAACGCTTGGTCCACCAACCGCACACTGATGTTCTCCACCTGGCAGAGGTGTCAGGCTGGAGCCTCAGGCCGTTTTGTTTCCTGGATAGAACGGTAAGGTCCAATCAGGTGGTATTATTGTTTGTAGGTTTCGGAACAGACTACTGTACAGACTACAGGGACCAAAGGTGACGAAAGAACCTACACGAATCAACCATGTCTCACGACAGCTTTGACGCAAACACATTTGCTGAGGATAAGATTGTCCGTCAAGAGTCGAAGACATTAGCTTTCCAACATGTTGATAAAGCTTTGGCTCACTGTCCATTGCATTCGGACTTCACCATTCTGCTGAAGAAGAGCTGTTTTGATGCCAACTCAAAGCGGGATCGAATGGTGAGAAATGTTGCAACGATGTGTTCTCAACTCGAGCACGGGCTGCCCTGGGCATCTCTGCTTTTCCAGGTGACAGGCTCGATGAAGCCTCACACTACCCACGTACCAATCAGGAAGGGCGAAACAACAGCTATGTAATTGTGTGCTCCCCTTCTACAATCTGAATTGTCAGGCGCCACCTGTATTTCGGAGCGCGACATGTATTTTCGTTGGTTTGGGTGAGGTGGTTGTATTCTGTAATCATAGTCTTCATGTCTGTCTGGGCGGAGAGTACCAAATGAAGCATGAGCTGACAAGGAGAAGAGTCCAAATCAATAGCCACGTGGCCTTTGCTGCTTCCTCGCTGCGCTCTTCTGCTGAAACAATCGACAAAGCCTCACCCCAAAGAATGAGTTTTCACATCTTGTTGACTCTGCCGGATGAAATCTGCAACCCTTTGGGGTCAAGTGAAAGCAATCTGACATGTAACTGTAACTACTTCACAAACAACTAGCCAGTCTATGCCGGACTATCATCGCTTGCAGAACACACTATAGTTTTTCACTGATCGATATGTTCACAGCACACACGTCTGGCTGATGCCGATCCATGTACAAAAGTATCCTCTTCACCAGTCCAAACCCCCACTTCGCTCTCGTTCTTGGGCGGTCCCAGCCTGAAAACCGTTCACCACCTGCACCAGGTAAGCCACCATCTTGGCCACTTCTCGCAAGTGGAGTCGCCAGGAGGGTGCCACGAGGGTCAGCTCAGCATTGGCATACTCGAAGCAAAGAGACAACGCGTCCAAGCTCTTGGCCTGGTCAAACACCAAAACACTGGAATTGCTCTCGTGTATTCTCCAGATGACTGAACACTTCCATGTTTTCTCTGACCTTTGGCCTGGTCGCTCAAACACCAAGCACACGACTTGCCGCCAAAACGGGGATGTGCCGGTGCTTCTTCGGTCGAGGTCTTGAAAAGAGGGCACCAAGCAATCGGGCAGGCTGAGCAAAAGAGCTGAAACGAAGATATTCGAAACAAGAATCATTGAGTGAAGGACTGCTAACATGACTCTACCATCTGTCACTTTTTTTGAGAACAAACATTCACCTTCAGTCAAAACACGATGCTCCCTTTTGCCTCACCAATAGAAAGGCACTATCTCCTTCCCTCTTGCTAGAAATCGGGGTCAGGGACGCGCCTGCGGATCACGGCGCGGCTTCGGCGCTGGTAGGGCCTGACACGGTGTTCTCGGCGAAACCGCCACAGCGGCGAGACCGGCGTCGATGGGAGTCTGGCCCAGGCCCGGATTCTCGGTGTCCAAAGCAGGGTGCGTAGGGTGTTCAAGTACAACTCATCAGAATAATGACCTCCACAAGTGGACATCTTGCTTTACAAAACAACAAAAAAACTCAGGAGAAGGAGGATAAGTATACTGGCTCTTTGATGTCATGCGTTCGCCAACACTCTGGGGATCTTAACTTTGTGAGTTTGTCTTTGATCGCGAGCTCGAAGCAAAAATCCCATGTATGAAGCAAGCACAGAAACGGTTGATCTAATCTGAAGAAAATCCCCAAAGAGCACCGGACACTCTACAAAGGGACAGGTTGAACATAGGAGGATTGAGGGACCAGACGGGGAGAGAGTAAATCAAATCTGAGGAGCTCACTTAGGGACTACATATTATGATTCTAGTTGTGTATATATTCCATGTATATATGACACATGTAAATCCATGAGATCAACCTAAGGTACGGAGAGAAAAATGGAAAGGAGATAGTAATGGATTTTAACTCATACTTAAACCCTTCTTGAAATCGATGTCAATCCCGATTTATGTATAGAGAGAGAGAGAAGGGAACACACAGGAGAGCATTGCAGACCCCACCTGGTCCACGCGTTCATGAAGTCGTTCCACCTTCTTGACGAGATCCTCCGACAGGTGACTCGTTCTGTTTTGGAACAAAAGCCATGAGAAACCCATATTGGCTTACAACCGCCGTGGTGTGATGAGACCACACCACACCCAATCTGTACCAAACTCTGTTGTGGTATGTATGGTGCGTGCATCAGCTTGCTCAAAGCAGAGTCACATCAACCAGTGTGAAAGCAGCTCTACAAAAGCTAGCGTCTGTTGCAGTCAAGCATAAAGATCGAGCTTATGAAAGAACGCACCCACCTGGCTGAAGGGGCCCTGCTCAGTGACTTCCAGGAGGTCGAGCTTTTCACTGTTCTTGGCTTGAGCAGCATGGAGCTCGTCCACCTTCTTGATGAGATCCTCCCGGCACTCAGTCAACCCTTCTAACTATCCAAAAGAACTTTCTGTTCTCTTGTCGTCTCCGACAACTGCGTGGCAGTTGTGTGAAAGAGTTATATTTAGCATGGCGAAACTAATGTTTTGTCCATTACTGGATTCCGTGCAAAGCTTGTCACATCTCCTTACCATACGATGTCGGAGTTTTCTCCTTTAAACCCCTGCCCTACAGATCTGCCTTTACGAACGAAGGATGATGTCCAAAATCGGTGTGATATGATGTGGGCATCCCCAAAGCAGTGTCACGTCAACCACTCTGAAAGCGACTCTAACAAATCTTCCGATGATAAAAATTCGAGCTAATCGAGAACGCCCCCCACCTGGCTGAAGGGGCTCCGGTCCGTGGCTTCCAGGCGGTCGAGCTGTTCACTGGTCTTGGCTTGAGCAGCATGGATTTCTTTCACCTTCGTTGTGAGGTCCTGTCAAATCGGTCGAATGCTTACAGTACTCGGTCGAAAAGATATTCGGCTATGTTCGGCTTAAATGGTTAGAATTGCATGACCTTTCTGGGGAAAGAGACGGAACCCTTTCATCTGGCCACATCTCTCAGACCGGTGGAATAGTCTTCAACTCCAAAGCCGATGCCGAACCCTGCAGCGGGGACATGCGGTGGCATCGAAACGACCTCCCCGTCAGGCTCCTCGAGGTGCTTCGTCAGGCTTTTGAGCTCTGCTGTTCCGGTCTCTACCGATTCCACGGCTTGGATTGTCCAGGGCCGGCAGAAGAGGCCATGCTGGGCTGGGCAACGGAAGTACACGACCTCCTGGATGGTAGAAGAATTGCCACTTTCAAAAAACGTGTTTTGAAAGAACCAACTAACCCATTTGGGCAGTCTCTTCTAGTCTCAGCCCACGCATTTCTTGAACTGGTAGTCTTTGCATATATAACATATGCAACTTCTATCGACCCACACTCCATATGCGATCTCTGATTGTACGGACAGAGGTTGGAATATATTTCCGAACAAAAAATGAAAAACGTGTTTACAAACCATCAAACCGTGGGTCTGGACACAGTGGGGACAAAAGGGAGAAGGTGTTCAGATGAACAAAACATGACCTTCTCCACGTCGTACCCTCTTTCCATGTTTGCTTCCGACAAAGCCGTCAACACACGCCACACGTCGTACATCGACATAGATGAAAAGGTCCCCCAGGAAGTTGCGGTCTCCACCGCTGCGGTCCTTTTCGACCTGACGGGACCCACCGGAAGTTGCAGGTCCTGAACGGTGCCATTGTTCTTTCCAATGGCCTCTTCGAGTTCAACTCCGACCCAGTCTCCATGAGCGAAGTAGGTGACTCCTCAGTGTGATGAAAAAAAGAGGTTCCCGTGCGAAAGAAACCGGTGAGATCGAGGATTCACATGAACCAAAAAATAGAAACAACTATAGATATTTATGTACGCGTACTAAATACAACACAAAAAAAGGAAAGAAAAGCCGAAAAAAACAAAAGGGCTGGAGAAAGAGAAATTGAAAGGCGTTGCTTGTTTCCTCCCTCCCTGCTTGCCTGCCCGCCTGCCTGCCTTCCTTTCGGACAATCCCCACGACAGCCGTCACGGTCACCTTCCCATTGAAGTAAGACTGACGGGATCAATCCTTTGGACTGATTTGGTTGCCATGTGCGGCAAGCAAGGCACCTTTGAATGATGATGAACAATGATAGAGATATTTTGTTCTACAGTTTTGCAAGCTCTTTCGGAATACCTCACTGAAACACCTAAGCAGCAGAAGTAGTGTGCAAAAAACTTCGAAAAGAGAATGACGCGACAACTCTTGTCTTCTCAGCAATTGATCAATGCAGGTTACTAAATATGAAATAACGATTCAAGCCGTCCATTGAGAGCAAGCCTTTTTTTCAACCATGCTCGCTCGAGGGTCCAAGAGGGGCTGGTAAATCAGCTGCTGGAACTCACCCAGCAAAGCGCCAGCAAAACAGCAGGCCCAATGGGCGGGTGACTGTAGCTTAAAGCCAAAATGAAACAGCTTTTGTTAACCTGAGTGTGATTTGATACCATGTCGCATATTGCGACATAAGTGCTTCTCAAAAGAAAATGCAGGCAAAAACAAAACATTTGCCACACCGGGTCAGGGTAACCTACTGTCTGGTGATCCAAAAGCTAGTAGATCTGAGTTCCCCGTCAGCGAGCTGACTGGCGGCATGGGAGTTTCTCTGGTCGCCTGGTCCTTTGGTCTTTTGGTCCCCTGGCGCCTTGATCCCCTAGTCCTCTAGTCCGAAGAAACCCAACTGCAAATCTGCCCTAGTAGTTCCTCTCTTTGTCTTTGCTCGCTGCTTTTCTTTTTACCTGTCCCTCTCTCCCTCTGTCTTGCTGCCGCTGCTGCTTTTGAAACACGCTGCCCGAACCTCCTCCCGCTTAAGTCCCCCAAGAAAAACTCAAGCCAAGCCCAAAGAAACTCTAAAGAAGCGAAGCGCATCTTTGCAATCTGAGTAACCTTTCCTGCAAAGTTCTTGTTGTCTTCGTACTCCCTTCTCTCATACTCTCCTACTCTGATTTGGTCTTCACTGTGCCAGCAACCAACGACATTCAACAAGTATCTGATTCTCTGTCCTCCAGGTGGTTTTGCGTTGATGCCTGCTATGGTTCCATCTGCTGGCACTTGTACCATCTTGAAGTCCTTCCTGCTCTGAATATCCATAGCAACTTCCCATCTAAGTGTCTCACCTTTCCAACTCCTCTCTTCATCACAAGTTGGCGTGCACTTGGTGAATCTGTGTAGACGTACTGGTCCACCTCTGTCCCAAGAGCAAATTCCAGAACTGCGCGAACGTAGGTTCCATCTGATGCTATCGCATGTACTTCTGCTTCACATGAAGATAGGCTAATGATCTCCTGCGTCCTGCTGCTGTTGAACAATGGGCCTGACGTTGACTTTCTGCACTACCCGGACGTCGACCCCCGATCGGTTTTTAACATGAAATGCACTGCCAACCACTTGGAAGTCTATTTTAGCTTGCCTGAATCGAACGAAGGTTGGCGTTGCCCTTTCTGTCCCGCTGCTTTGCCTGAGGGAATCCGCAGGAATGTTCTTGAAAAAGCCAGAAAGAAACATTACAATGACAAACATAAAAGCCTGAAAAATGCCTGAGAAAGAAAAAGTTTTTGCAAAAAGCTGTTTGCAGCCCATGGTAAACAAGCTAACGAACGACCGGACCTCTTTGTTGACTGCTCATGCTCATGTAGTACTTCTGACTTGTCTTCCATCTGGACTGAGCTGTCTGCTGGTAGTTGAAGGTTGGCAGGTCCAATCTGATCTTCATAGGCTTTCAACATCTGCTGGATGTAGTTGCCTGGCTTGATCCATAATCCATCAACTTCCAGTTTGTACTTTCTCCTCGGAAAAATGAATTAATTCATCACCAATTCTCTCAATCTGGCTTGCGCTGGTGTCAAATTTGCCTTGAATCTTTGGAAGAAAGATTTCATTGATGTACTTTGAGTCTCCTGTGAAAATCAAGTCATCCACATGGATCAACTCTTCTCGTTTCTTCCTGGGCGTGGACACTCAGCACTGAACGTTGAGTTCCTCTGTGAGGTACTGTGAAAAAGTCAAACCACGCTTTTGCTCCAACTCTTTGTCCAGGTAGTTTAGTCTTGATCTTCTCTTCCACCTTGTTACTGAAATTTTATCTCCAAGCCGATATGGTTTGTTCCTACAGTCATACACATGTCTTGCTGTCAAGTAACTGATGCCTTTCGCGCTGCCTTCTGGTTTCTCTAGCGCTTGCATCTTCTGGAGTCTCTTCTCCTCCACTTCCTCAGCAACTCTGTCTATCCATTCTTCTGGATCTCCTTCTGGTTCACGCTCTCCATCAAGCCACAAGCATTCAGGTCCGTTGATCTCCAACTGGTTCATCTTCTTCATCATCCCACTCTTCCTCATCAGTTTCCACTGCAACTGGGGATAACTCTTCATCTACATGGTAAAGATCTTCCCCTCCAACTTTCACTACCTTGATCGTGGCCTTCTTGCTTGAATCCCTTGGTCTTGACGGCGCTGATGGTGATCTCAATGAAGATAATATAGGAGGAATTGGGTTAGGCTGCCCTGCTGTCATCTGTGGAAAGAACTTTCTTCTACTTGGTGTCTCTTCACCACTTGGGGGGGGGCTTTCTTTCCCCTCCATCTCACTCATTTCATTGCTTCAACAGGGATTTCCCGTGGGGCTGGAATCTTCTTTGGCTCTGGAGATAGTGCTTCCTCCTTGTCTGAGTCACTTCTTCCTTCCAGCGCCTTGGCCATTACTGCTTCTGCATCTTCTTCCGCATTACATGTTCTCGAGGAATGCCCGTTGGCGCTGCTGGTAATGCTTCTGCTTTGGCAATGATCCTGCCTCCAAAGTTGGCTTGATACTCCCATGAAAATGCATTGAACCTTTTGTATACGGGTAGCTACTTAGACCAATCTTGATCTGTTCTTCTGATACATTTGCTGAGCACTACCTGCACTCCATCTGTAAGCACATAAGTGTCTTGCCTTTCAACTTTTGCCAAGAACAAGCATAAATGCAATCTTTGTCGAGACTCTTGGTGTAACCATGAACTGGTTCACCGTATTACGCTAGAAGTCCTTCATGGCTCCTGCTATAGACAAGTTCATAGGAAGTTGCTCCTTTGACTCGCTGGAACCTGTTTAGCACCCAACTGGCATGTCTTGCTGCCCAAGTCCAAAGTGCATGATCTGATCCAATCTTGATACCAAGTCTTGACTGCACACCTTCAATGAAAGTTCCTGCAAGCTTTCTCACCCTGTCAACTGTTCTCTGACAGAAATGAATGATCTCCAAGCTTTGAGCTTAGACTGTGCCGAGCATTGATCAGCATCTTGAGGATTTGCCTTGTTGTGGGTTCTGTGATTGCTGAATGCCCCAACAACTGACGGAAAATCATCAACTCTCGCACAATCAGGCGAATTGTCCTTTGCTTCCTAATGGTACAACATGAATGAATCCAGTTTGGCCGTCAATTGCAACTAGCCAACATACTGCTCTTGCTGACTTTGTCTCTGAGTCCCTGGCTCTTGTGTAGCCAACTTACCTCAGGAATACTTCCTCTCTTTACTCCATCTGTTCTCTCACGACGGTCTGGACGCGCTCGATGTTCAACACACCAACTGGCATATGGCACGCGCGTCAATCTGCGCCTTGCGTGAGTTGCGTTATCTGGCATCTTTGCAACACTTTGCCCTAGTGCCTCTCCTGTTTCCTAGGCTTTTTTGCTTCCCTTACCAAGCTTTTGGCATTCAACAACTCCATCTTCTTGTTGTGATTGAGGATCTTAGTGTAGAACTTTAGCTTAGAGCCACTGCCTTAAATGCCAAGAAATGAACACGCTGCCCTCAGAGTTGCCAAACATGAGTGCTTAGCCAACTCTATTCCAGTCACCAAGACTTTGTCTACACCGATTGGGTTCAACTGTGTACTTCACATTCAAGGTCTTCACCTTTCTTTTCCTAGAGTAGGGGTAACCTCCTCTAGGGCTTCTCCGTCCGTGTCCTGGCGCAAAGAATCCCACATCCTCTACGGCGCTGCTTCATAGCTGAAGATTGTGATTGAAGAAATAACTGCATCATCATCATCATCCTCATCATCAAAGAATTGCTCATCAACTTCCTCCTTTTTCATTATGCTCTCACCATATTCAGGCATTAACCCTTTACCGCCTCTTTTCACCGAAGTGGTTCTCATCAGCTCTGGTGGTTCTTACACTTCTGCAATGACTGTGGGATCCACAAATCTTGAAGTCAAAAAGCTTCCAACTAGCAGCCCACGCTCATTGAATCTCCAACCTTGAACCGTCAAAGGGCGATTTTGTAGGTTGAGTGGTACCTTCCAGTCACCAATCTCCAACATTTGCTCTCTGATCCACCAACCTTCCATAACAAAGCATGGGCTGATTCACCTTGAACTGAAGATCACATTCTTTTTGAGAAGAACTTCTCGTCCATCAAGTTCGCGCAAGGAAATTGCAACACTTTTCGCACCTCCTGTGGGGATGCGATTTGCTTGTGCGTCTTGTAGCTTGGTCTTTGCGCTGAATTGGTCTTTGCGTACTCAAAGGGAATAACGCTACATCAGCTCCACTGTCAATAATGATGGCCACATCCTCATTCTCTTCCCCAAGTCTCCTCAAAATGGGTTCATCATCTGAGATCGAGATTGACATCTCCTCAACTTCCTGCATCTCTGGCTCCTCATCATCATCATCTCCATCGTAGAAGTGAATTACTTGAAATACTTGGTCTTCCAACTCATCACCTCCTTGTCTCAAGTCAAAGATGATTGGCTCACTCTTCTCAATTCTCCTGACCACTGGTTTGGTCTCTGCTGAGCTACCTTGTTGGCTCACATTGGCACGCTGGTGGCTAACCGTGTGAGTTGTCACTGATGCTCCTCCTGAAGATGAATGGGCTTGGCCACTGGCTACCTGTCAAATATTGTTCCTCCAACAGTCTTTAGCAAGATGTCCTGGCTTCCCACAAGTGTATCATGTTACCACACCTTTGCCTTTGTTGTCTTTGCCTTTACCTTTGCCCTTGTAATCACCTTCTTTTCCTTTCTGATGTCCTTGTCCTTTCTTTCCTTTGCCCTCAGCATCTTTACCTTTGCAGGCCTTTCTGATTGCCCTTCTTACCTTTTCCTTTGGCCTCTTAAACTCGATCAACCTCCATTTGCATAGGTCCTTGATAGTCTGTACTGCTACTAGTCACCATGGAAGTAGCCCACTCCTGCTGAGATCTATCCCATTGCAACACTTGTTCCCTCAACCTGGAGTATTGAACATTCTCGCCAATTGTCAAAAGCTGTCCACCGACACTTCTCAAAAGAATAGCAGGCTTCAACTCTTCCTGAACTGTATTACCTGACTTAGCTGTCTCATCAATACCTCTTCAAGCTTCAAAAGTTGAGGTTGTGGTCAACTGTTCATTGAAAATGCTGGCCATGTAGTGGATGCTATCGAGAGCACCAAGCCTCTTGCCTTTGAAGTTGGTTTCAAGATGTTTCCAGGCTTTTGTTCAAACTCCTCCAGGCATCAAATCCATTGGCGTCTTCCACCGCTTTCACCAATTGCAGTGCCCTTCCTGTCGTTAATGATTCTAACAACCCACAGAGTTTGATGCACCTGGTCTTCTCTGCCTCAGTTGCCAAGTCCATGTACTGCGCTCAGGTATTTCTCAAAGACCCATGACCGCTTTCTGCATTGCTCTCTTCTTCTTGCGACTTATAGTCAAAGATATTTGGCTTTGCTATCAATATTGACCAACCTGTGGTTGATGACTTCTTGTCCTCAACTGCTTTCTTCACTGCCTCGGCTTACAACAATTATTCACCAGTGCAGCTGTTTGGGTTCCAAAGGCCCCAAATCTATGGCTCGAAACCGCACCCGGGATCCCAGTGACCTAGGGGCTTTTCACTCAGAGCTCCAGAGCGGTTACCTCCTTCTTAGCTCCGCTACTATACGCACGTTTCCTTTATACGCAAAAGGGCTGCAGTAAGGTTGATGATGTTAATTATGCTACTCATGTACATATTGATCTGCACAGAAAATGGTTCGCAATATATGTGTGTTTGAAATACCCTGTGAACCCACAAGGCCTACAAACTTCACCAGGCCACTGTACAAGCCAAGATTCCAACGAAGCGAACTGTTCCGCAATAGGTTTTCTTGCCGACCTGCGTCTTGATCCTGTCCCCAATCTGCCTTAACGGTTTGGCGCACTTCCAGCGGAGGGGTGACATGGCATCGAGGCCAAACGGGTTCGAACCATCACAATCAAAGAATTGCGCTGAGAACCAACCGGAGCCAGTGTACATGGCTGCTGAGTTACCAATTCTTGGCCACTTGGTCAGCCGCCAAGGAGGATGTCGGCACGCTAGCAGCACGGCCAACCTGCCAGGTAACGGAAGAATAGAACAAAGAAATAGGTAGCTTACAGGAGAAACTTCACAGCCATATTCCGACATTCTTCTCCGTTCTTGTGGTTGACCGATTTGTGTCTATTCTAATCAGTCAAATCTTGATCCACTTTTGCAGCAAGAGCATCCTCTGTTGTCTCTCGAAAGAATTCCTCTGATTTGAAGTGGAATTACCTCAGCCATGGTTGCAATTATCCTTTTAGCGAACCAAAACAAATGCCCCCAAAGAGTGTCGTTTTAGTGGATCTCTTGTGTGTGTGCAAAAGCGCCGTTCGTTCAAGCATCCGATTCTCTTCACCCCTTGCTCACCGGCCACACGGGCAGTTCCGACGGTGATCTCTTTATGTCCGTCTCACCATCGACGCCGGCGCCGCTTCGGTGTCCGCTTCGGTGGCGCCTTGCTGCTCATGGCATCTCATGGCGCAGTCGGTCGCGCTTCCGAATCGGATGGCGCAGCGAACGGCATCGACGCCACTTTGGAGAAGGGTTTGTGGCGAACGGTCTTGTGGGATATCTTCGCGTGTTCCAAACTGTTCGATTTCTCGCAACCAATTGAGCTGTCTGGACACACAAGCTTGGTCAAGGCCACACACAGTCTCCAAAGTGGAGTGGAAACCCTTCAGCCCGTGAGGCCACAGGCTTGGGCCAAGGCCACCGCCAAAAACATGTTGACACCGTTGACACCTGAAGCCTCCAGCAAACTATGCAACTTGTGGCCTCATAAGGTGTTGTTTCATCCACCACAATGAAATGCAACACGAGACATGTCCAGGCTTCTGTGAAGTTTTGCATGTGTGGCTGTGGCTCAGTAAACCTTCATTTAAGTCTTCAAGTATATAAGAGGTAGCAAGACTATGACTCTACGTCTCGGTTTTTGGTGAAGTTGGCAGTCTTTGAGCTCTGGAAGTGCGGGTCGGGGGCGCGAGTCGGTCTTTTGCTGGCAGCCGAGGTTGATCACATGGAGGATCCAAAAAGGGGTCCTTTTCTTCAGACGACCGTCATCAACGAGGGTCTTGATGCGCTTTAACTATTCCAGGAGTTGGCACCAGAAACTTCTGCCACACTCTGATAAATGACAAAGCTTCTGGGCAGAGTGACAAAGGAGTGACAAAGAACCCGGGGTGATCTCCCGCGCGAGGTTCTGGCGCTCACGTGATCTCTTGCGCGCACCCAAGAAATGCAAGTTCCTGGCATCACCCCCGTCGCTGGTGCGACCGGTCGGCGCTGACAGGAAGTCGTAGTTAGCCGTAGTTACCCATCAGCCGTAGTTACAAGTTTTCGCATCTCATCCACAACCATTAGCTTCTTGTTACTAGTTACTAGTAGTAAGAATGCTCCTAGTAGCGATGCCCGGGTTCCTAGTAGCTTCTTGCTCCTAGTAGTATGGCCAGGAGCCTAGTAGCTTCTTGCTACAGCGTGACTTTCATAGATCAGGGCCAGAAAACTGCTACCAGTCCGTCGCTCTCTTCGCTTCTCCACAAACACTTATCCGCACACCTGATGACAGGTCAATATGGGCAAAAGAAATTACCCTTCGAATGGTTCCGAACTCAGAATGCATGCGGAAAAATAATGAAAAAAACAAGATGGAGCCCACGAACCCGAATGCAAACACGTTCGAAAAGCTACATATGTCCAAATGACACTCTTGTAGGACACTCTTGTGGGACACTCTTGTGGGTCACTCTTGTAGGAAACTCTTGTGGGACACTCTTGTGAGACACTCTTGCGGGACACTCTTGCGGGACACTCTTGTGGGACACTCTTGTGGGACACTCTAGTAGGAAACTCTTGTGGGACACTCTTGTAGGACACTCTTGTGAGGGATACTCCTGTAGGACACCCTTGTGGGACACTCTTGTGGGACACTCTTGTAGGAAGCTCTTGTGCGACACTCTTGTAGGACACTCTTGTGGGACACTGTTGCGGGACACTCTTGTGGGACACTCTTAAGGGACACTCTTGTGAGACACTCTTGCGGGACACTGTTGCAGGACAGTCTTGTGGGACACTCCTGTGGGACACTCATTTGGAACACTCTTGTGG